GTCACAAACAGGTTTTCTCATACAATCTTAATGGTTTCAACCTTCACATTTAGATATACAATCCATCTGAAACCAATTTTTTGTGTGTGATGTGAGGTAAGGGGGACCAAATACATTTTTCCATATAAATATCCCATTGGCCCTGAACCATTTATTAAAATAACTGTCATTTCTCCGCCACACTGGAGATACACACAGTGTGAGAACACTACACAGCAATGAGCATAGACAATTTCATACTGGATTCAACAATATGGATGAATGCCACAAACATAAAGTCGAATGGAAGAAGACAGACACAAAAGGGACAGGCAACATGATTCTTTGCCTGTCATAAATCAGGCAGCCATAAATGTGTAGGACTGTGATCTGTTTTCTTCCATATTAGTTTATTCTTGTGTAAATACAATAATGTTTTAATTACTAAAACTTCAAAATAGGTCTTACTATCTGGTAATATAAGCCTTCTAGCTTTGTTCTTCTCCAAAATTGCCTTAGAAGAGGCACTAGGTCCTTTCCATTATCATATAAATTTTAGTATCAGATTATCAATTACCACACATAAACCTGCTAGGATTTTTGTCTGAGATTGCTCTTGTCTGTTTTTGATCTTCCAAATCCCTTTGGAAAATCCCTTTGGAGTCTTGATTTGGATTTTATTAATCCCATAATTTAATTTGTGGTATATTGAGTTCTTTTTTGATTATTTCATTGCTGTGAATATTGATTTCCCCACAAGACTATTAGCAACTTTTGGAAAAAGTCCTGGCCACATAATTCTTTTGTTTTCTGCATAATTTTATGGCAACCTGTGGAGCCAAATAGCATTTAATGTGTGCTTCTTAACTAGACCTCATAGATTCTTGCAAAACGACCTTGCCAAATGCTTTTCTCAAATATTCCAGGATGGATGCTCCTTAGCTTCTGACTTAATTCATTGGGGTAAATCATTCAAGTATTTATTAATTCACCTAGCAAAGCAGATAGCGTAGTCTAATATTAAGTGGATATTAACACACAGGATCTGTTCAGTATTTAGGCATCTCCTTTTTCCCTTGGGATATTTCAGTCCAGTAAACACAAAACCAACTACCTAAAATGTCATCTCTTTAGTGCTAGAGCTTGAGAGCAAAGGAGTGATTAACTCTAGCTAAGAAAGTGAAGTTGATCAGTCTTCATGAAGTTAACAGTAGAGCTGAATCTTGAAGCACGAATAGGAGCTCTCCAGACACTAGAGTCCAGGAGTCCAGGAGAGGATGGGGAGCTGTCTGCATAAGAGGACAAAAAGACACAAAAGCATGGCAATTCATCCTGTGTCAAAGAAGCATGAGTGGTCTAGTATGGTCGGGGCAGAACAGGATGGAATGAGAGCTAGGTGAAGCTGGACATGCAGGGTAGGGTCAAACCATGAATGGCTTCTTAATATATGCCAGTGATTCTTTTTATTTTATTATTTAAGAGGGTTATATAACAGAGTGTCATGATGGGATTTATGTTTAAAAATCATGATCTACTAGCACTGAGGAGGGTGGACTGTAGAGTGCAGAGGTAGTTAGGAGGCTACTGCTATAGTCCAGGGAATACATAAACAGAGGCAGGAAATGGGATGGTGAGTGCTGGTTATTCTAGAGACGAAATCAAAGACCTGGTAATTGATCAGGTGTATGTAAGTTGGGGGAGGGCATCTGGATGTTCAGGTGCAGGTTATGGGATGTCACTGTGCTAAGCTCCAAGCTGCACACTTGGATGATTGGGTAGAATGGATCAGCTCTTCTGAAAGTATGCTAAGATGTACCTGTGATCGACAGCTGTGTGAAGGGCACCGCACAAGGCAGGTGGGGCTGTTTTATCCTGTCTCCGAATAACCGCATTTTGCCATGTGATTTCATTTTACAGGATTCCGAGGCTTTTTTGTTAGTTACCACTGCTCTCCTGGAAAGAGAGAAGAGAGGTTATTTCAGAAATACAAGCCCAAAGTAAAACATTCTCTCCTGACCGCTACTCTGAAATTAGATTCGTTGGTCAGATCAGATTGGCAAGGAGTTTTAAATCATTTAGCACAAACTGCTCATTTGGTAGATGAGGCCAAGTCCAGGAGGGGTAGGATGATGTATTAACCAGTAAGTGGGGTCATTGGGTACACCCAGATGTGGTGGGAAGGCAGTCAATCAGCATGGTAAAAAGTAAGGAGTCAAATGGGTGTGGACGGTGCCACCTACCAGCTGTGCAGTCTGGAGAACATTAACTTTTTCTGAGACCCGGTTTGCTTGACTTCGAAATGGAGTTGTGAGCATTACATGCACCACGTGCATGGTCACAGCGGTGGCATACCCAGATGCCCGGGGCACGTCAGTGATGATGGAGGTGATAGAGACGAAGGTGATGCTGATGTCGATGATACGGGTAGGGGCTGGGCTTTGGCATCAGGACGCCCGAGTTAAAATGTCTATTGTAGTTGTTTGACCTTGTAAAAAATGACCTAACCTCTATATCAACTTAATTGTGTGTAAAACAGAGACCATCACCTCTCTCTTGCACTATTTTGAGAATGAAATCAAATAATACATTCATTTAAATTACTTAGCCCTGTGCCTGGCACAAGGAAGGTGATCGGTCACGTTTGCTCTCTATCCGGCAGTCCAGACCTCTTGCTTCATCACCTTCTCCTTCCCTTTCCCTCTCCTATTCCTCCTCATCCTTCTCTCAGAGCAGACCTTATTTTTTTTTAACATTATATTGTCATTTATCCATTAATCGCAAATCTGGAAATGTGTGTTGCCATGATTGTTCCTGAGGCCCATCTATCCTCTTGTTTCCGCAGGTGGGAATTCATTCTCTGCAGTGTCTGTCCGTCCCTCCTGGGGCTCGCAGATGACCCAGACTCTGCCACTGCGCTCAGAGCTCCCCTGGGCGCTACCTTCAGGATAAGGACCCTTTCTCTGGGGGGAATGGTCGTCCTCCCTCAGAGGTGAGGTGGGGCATGTGGCCTCCCACTGGGCCCCCTTATCTTCATCTTGACAGCATCTGGTGGATATAATGAATAATTTGTTGTTGGGAGGCTTTTGGCAGTTCCCTTGCTTCAGCAATTAAAACAATATTTTGTCTTTGGGGCTGTGTTGTGGTGGCGCTCCAGGAATGAGAGTGGAATGAAGACCTTCTGAACCTCCTCTCTGGACCCAGGTTTGTTTCCCTCATGCAATGGGGAAAAAAACCTAATGAGCCATATATTCAGGCATCTCTTGTAAAAGCAGCAGGTACCCCAGCTCCCATGTGGATGTGCCAGCTCGAGGGCTCACTGCGGCTGAACATGACCGGAAATCAAGTCAGGGATTGTCATCAGAGGAGGATAAAAGGTCAGTAACCGATAAAGGCACGTCCTGTGGCTGACAGAAGTGCATCACAGAACTGGCAAGTACCAGCCCAGTGTGTGTGGGGTGTGTGTATGTCCATCTTTTCTGGAATGGCCAATTCCATCTGCCTGCTTTTATGCCTTGATATCCCCAAAGTTGAGCCCCCAAACTGCAAAGAGCGTGTATTTATTGCTTTACTTTAAATGACTAGGTTTGAGGATTTTAAGAGAAAATTGAAGACACCCAAGGTGGGGGGGTGACAAAAATCAGAGATGGGAAAGCTTATACCAGAGAGAATTGGGGTCACATAGTTCTCCAGGTTCTTGGATTGATGAATGAAAATAGCACTGGGGTCAATGGAGGGAGGAAGGAGGACAGGTCCAGGAGGGGTACAAACTTGATTGTAATTTTTTTTCTTATAGAAAAACAAGGAAGGAAGAAGAGAATAAAGGAAGAAGGAAAGAAGAAACACCAAAACTCACATCTCTATTTTGTTCCCAAATGAATTCCATTAGACTCGATACGTCATTCTAAGTATTCCTGAATATAGCTGTGGATTTAGATAACTCTCTTCTCCTCTTCTGACCTTTATTACGACTACAAAAATTCTGTGTGTGAGGGATAAATAATGCATGCTTTCAGCCAAGAAAGGAATGAAGACCCAAGCAAACATTGCAGAATAAAGTAAGCAACATTCCTTTCTCTGGTATATTTTAACTCCTGACCTACTCCCACCTCCACCCCCACTGCCTGCCTGTTCCTACCCACCAACCAGGACCCCAAAACCTGGAACAGAGTGCTAGACACCATAGGTTTGGGGGTCAAACTTGCATTTAAAATGCTTATAGCTACGGGGTGCCTGGGTGGCTCCATCAGTTAAGCCTCTGACTCTTTTTTTTTTTTAAGTTATTTATTTATTTATTGAGAGGGAGAGAGAATGATAGAGAGAGAGCATGAGAGGGAGGAGGGTCAGAGGGAGAAGCAGACTCCCTGCTGAGCAGGGAGCCTGATGTGGGACTCAATCCTGGGACTCCAGGATCATGACCTGAGCCGAAGGCAGTCGCTTAACCAACTGAGCCACCAAGGCGCCCCAAGCCTCTGACTCTTGATCTCGGCTCAGGTCTTGATCTCAGGGTCATGGGTTTGAGCCCTGCATTGGGCTCCACACTGGAAGTGGAGCCTACTTAAGAAAATGCTTATAGCTATGATATATCAATTATGTGATCCTAAGAAAATCCCCCACCTCTCTCCTCCTTGGTCTTCTCTGTGAAATGGGGATACCCAACTTGGTATGCTCTGGGTCAAAGGCTTTGGAGAGATAATAAATGAAGATGTATGCAAATAAACTTTTGCAACTGCATCCTGGAGAACAAACAGAAGAAAGGAGGTGTGTTCTGGTCAGCTGTGAGCCTCAGACATGAGAGAAAGGGTTGTGGGCAGAGGGGGCACCTTCTCAGCCTAGAATTACCTTGAAAGAGTCATTGAGAGCCTAGAAACCCAGTCTTGGCTTTGGATCCTCCAGCTGGCTTCTGCGGCAGCAGAGTGAATGAAAGGTCTCTTACCATCTTTAGAAGCCAGAAGCCTCTTCTTCTTGCAGTTATAACAGAAACAGAGGAAGGGACAGAACGGAACCAGAAGCTCAAGCTGAACTCAAATTTGGACAGTACACAGGATTATGCGTCTGTTTGCATGTTTCTGTTTCTCATTTGTGCCTGTATTATGTGGAGGTAGAGGGACAGGGACCCGTTTCCAGTTGGGGCTTTAACAAAGACCCTGAGCCTTGACCCTCAAGCCTTTGGGGTAGAAAATGAGGTGGAAAGGCAATGAACCAAGAGCAAAGGCATGCAGTGTGGGTACTTATCTGTGGGAGGAAGCTGGAAGTCATCACAAAAATGAAGAGACGGGACTGGCATGCTCATTTATGCATCACCTCCAACTCCCCAATTACACACCTAATAAAGAGTTGAATGGTCAGGCAAATGGTTTAAATATATGATAAGAGGACTGGGGATTAACACACAGTGCAGGAGGAGGCTCATCTAGTCTTTAGAAAACCATGGGAAGAGGTGTCCATGCAATATGTCTTTCAGAGCCTTAGCCCCTGCTTTTTTGTGGGCATTTCTGATGACTTCTGGACAATTCTTCAGCTCCCAGTGCCTTGTCACTATGTCCCTAAAAACACTAAATTTCAGAGATGGGCGAGAACTCCAAAGATGAAGGAAGCAAGGTCTGAAAAAGGGAGCAAGCTGCTCTAGGACACAGTGAATTGGATTCCCAGGGCAGCACCACACCTGCTGATGCCCATTCCCGTGACCTGTCCCCATTCTCCCCATTTGTGCTTCCACCTCAGTGCTGTCCTTTTCAATGTGTGTTCTGTCTGCGATTCTCCATCTTCCTCCTAGACTTTCCTATACCCCCTAGTAAACTAGTCCTCAGAGCCTCAAGTCCCTCTAATGTTGACAGATCTAGGTAGAAAGGGGATGAGTCTGCCTGGTAAGTAAGACCATCCCGCCATGGGTGGGATGATTTTGATTTACCTGGTGCTCGTCTCCCCACCCCCCCCAATGGCTGCTTTTGAGATCTGTGGAAAGATGAGCAGGTCAGGCCCCCCTGTGGGCTCTCCCTCCATGCCCCTCTCCACTGCTGCCCCAGTATAACCATTGGGGAACCCCCTTTCTTGTTCCCATTCTAGTTTCCCCCCATATTTCAGAATGACTACCTCACAAAAGGGATCAGTCTGGGAGAGGGGTACAGACTAGCTCTGCATTGTGAACCTAGGACAGAGCTGGGATGAAAATGTGGTAAACCACGGCCAGTTTGAGGATACTGAAAACCTCAGGGCTCTGCCTTTTGCCCAGAGAAATCCTTGACTCTGGATGCAAATGGTAATCAGAGAACTAGCTTAGGGGTTGCCTAATGAAGCTGTAGAATCTGCTTCTTCCATTCTTACCTCCTATTAGATGCAGCCTTGCCATTTCCATGGCAACTGGGAAGCTTCTTGGGTTTCACTGATCCATCACTTGGGGATATATGGGAGGACGACTGGATGGGGTAGGTAGATACGGAGGCAGAGATGTGTAAATCTTCCCATTTTATCTTCACCTTGGGCTCTGGCAGGGCTATCCCACAAGCAGGTGCAGGAACGTAAGGATCATTATTCACTGTGTGACCACAGGGCCCCAGATGCCCATCCTGAGAGTACGAGCATGCTTAGAGGGGCTAGAGATCAGCACTAGAAACATCGTGTTGCTCGTGTCTGCCCTTAGGGCTTCCCTCCTCTCTGCCCATCTTTCTCCTTCCTCCTTTCCTTCCTTTGGCTCCTCCCCCTTGGCAGAGGCCAAGCCTAGTGCCATAGTCAGGGGAGAGGCATCCTGTTCTCTTGCTGGGGACTGGATGATGTGGAGGGAATGAGAACTGCGTAGAGGTGAAGTACAATGCCTTCTTCCCAGCTGTGTGACCTTGAGCTTCAGTTTCTTCCCCAGTAAAACATGGATGACAATAGCTCCTCCTTAGGCCTGTTGTGAGGATTTGATGAGTCACTCTATGTGTGGGCCTTAGAGCTATGCCTGTCATGTAGATGGTCCTATATAAGTAGGATAACCGTAGATGAAGGTGTGACAAGGACAGTCCCATTTTATGCCTCCTGTCCCCACCTCACTATTAACAGTGCTCCTCTCCCATTTCAAAAGTATCAGAGTTTGACGTGAAATAGGGCTACCCTGTATATAGTTTTAGCTATTTTGTATGGGAAGTGGCCCAGTGTTTTGAGGACATACAGGGTTGGAGGCCAGAGGCTAGGAAGTGAGGCAGGCAAGAGTCTGGCTCCAGAGCATCTACAATGACCCAGTTCCGGTTCAACTGTCTGGGGAGTTTAGAAAAAAACTGAGGCGGGTTGGGGGGAATGAAGAAAACCCTGTAACACTGAAGTTTTGCTCTTTCCCACCCACTCCCACCTCCCTGGTGAAAGGTGCCAAGAGCCGATAGGGTGCGGCCCCACCACGGTCCTACTGGGAATGCATATTCAGAAAGCAAGTTTTGAGAACCCAGCGTCAGGAATCAGCTTTCTGTTCCGCCAGGTAAGTGGAGTCAGGGTGCCTGGATCACCAAGGGCAACTAGCAGTGCCATGTGTTCTTGGATAAAAGAAAAAAAAGGTCGAGAGATAGCCAGTCTTCCTCATTAGTGGAAGAGCCGGAGTCAATCTCGGCAGAACATTCCCACCCGGACCCGACTGCCCTTGCGTTGCCAGAGTGGTGGGCTGAGAACTCTTGTGGAGGCTGAGCCCTTGAGGTCCTTGTGTCGATGTATCTCAGATCCTTGTCTGTCTGTCTATCCCATCATTGTTAGAAATACCATCTGTCATTCCAATAGCTTGGACCCTGGAGTCAAATCCCAGGTCCCCCGCTCATTAGCTGTGTGACTTTGGGCAGGTTTCTTCACTTCTCTGTGCCTGAGTTTTCATACTTGCAAGATGAGGATGATTCTGTATCTATCTGGTAGGGCTTTGGTGAGGATGAACAGCCATTCATACGTCGCTCACAGCGAACACTACAGTAACTATTGCTGTTGTTTGCATGTTGTTTCCTTGTTACTCTCGTCAGAGGGGGTTCTGACCTCGCATCCCAACCCTTTGGTTGCCTTAGTATGATTTTAAAGGAAAAGTCACCTCTTCACATGTTATATGGAAGAATAGCCTGGCCGGCTTCGGCACAACCTTGGCATTCACCATTTCATTCCACAGATGGGGCAGACTCAGGAAACAGAACTTGGTACAGAAGGGAGTGCTTGGCTCTTGGAGAAAGAAAGTGTTAAGAATTGCACAGATTCTGGAATTAGACAGACTATGGATTGAAGGCCGGATCTTCTGATAACCATTTTTAGATATATCTAATCTCTCTGTGCCTCAGTGGACTGATACATAAAATAGAAAAAATGGCATGGTCGGCATGAGGACTAACAGGTACAGAAGCTCCTGGCACAATTTCTGGCACGTAGCAGGTATCCCAGAAGGGCCAATTCCTTGTCCCCTTGCTGTTATTGGACAGCAAGCTCCTTGCGGGGAGGGAGGCCAATTTGGTTCACTGTCGCATCTCCCAGGTCTTGACGGGGTGCCTGCGACTGAGCAAGCCGTCAGTAAATAGTCAGGAAATGAATGCCAAATGAATAGATTTTTTCATGCATTACATGCCTCCTTAGACATAAATATATTAACTTCCTGCTTAGTGCATCATGGCTAATCACTGCTAGAGATGAAGGCTTTGAGGACTTAATGATTTTTGAAAACTATATTCAAGGTTAAATTATGAGTCAAGTCAAGACTCTAAACTGCTGGAAGCAATTTCCTCATGTTTCAACAGTTTACTAAGCCTCATCTGCTTTATTTATTCAAAGCCCACCGGCCCCTCCCCCTCACCTTCCTCCACGTATGGATCGTAGCAGCCCTTTACTAGATTTCCCTGGAAAGGACGCAGGCGCAGAGAACACAGTTTGAGGCTGAAGGGCCTTAGGCCCTGTGTTTCAAAGAGAATTAACTAGAGGGTGAGTGGCGCCAGTTCCCTAATCCTGAATTCTGCATTTACTCACATTGTGTGAAAGAGGGGAAAGGGACACTGATCTAGAAATCGGCCCTTCTTCCTGGTCCATCCACAGCCTAGTTAGCTCATGAGCCTCATCCCCCCTGAGACTCCACGAAGGGCTGTCTCTTAGGGGACGGCGGGGGCGCGGGTGACAGTGGAGGTGGCTATAACCATCTTGGGTTGTTCAAAGCGGCTGTTCCCTGCATATGTCTCTGTGCCCATCATCTTGCTTTTCCTGGCACCTAGGATTTCTCTCTCTCCCTTAAGGCATTCCTGACGGGGTGGGATTTGGTTAATCAAGTACAGAATTTCCATTATGTCTGGAGTGATCTGGGAGTGGATTGACATCTTCCCTGGAGTGAAAGCTCCTCAGGCCTGTGCTCTGTTTTGTTTTGTGTTTTTAAAAATGAAGCCTGGGCACTTGGTCATGTACAACTGCAACTGTTTAGGGAAAACACTTGTAGCCCTCCTCTGTGAAGGAGCACCCAGCAGAAAGCATGGAGCAGACCTTACGGAAGGCACCCATGTTGCTGTGGGAAGTTGTAAGCAGATGGTGTGCGTGTTGTTGGAGAACTTTCTGGAACTTGAGCAGAAGCTGTCTCTCTCCTCATTGACCAATTTCAAAGGGCTCGCAGGATCGAATGGGGCCCAGGAGGTAACCCCGACCCTAGAGCACGTGATGAGGGAAATCAGCAGGTTGGAGAGGGGTGGCCATCACCAAGCTCCCAGACTGGTCAGGGAGAGCGGCTGAGGCTCGGTGTGTAAGACTAGAAGCTTTTCAGCTCGACCCCTGTACCCCTAGAGGTACAGACCTAGGGACAATGGCTGAGCACGTGTGTTTGTGAACTAACAGAACTGTAACCTTGGCCTAGGTGCGGAGCCCCTCTGTAACAAGCAAGGCCAGCACCTGCGGGCACCCCTCGGTGGTGGTGGGCAAGGGTCTCTGGACCTATGTGAGACCACTCTTCAGCAGTGACCTCTTGTGGTGAGAGGAGCAATTGCACTTATAGTCTGAAGAATCTGCCCTGCTCTTCAACAGGATCATAATGCCCTGGGGCTCGTGGACCTGCAGAGATAATGAGGAGGAGGGAAAATACAATAACATCAAGAGGGAGGAAGATTCTGGACTTCATGCCGGTTAGGAGAAACGGCTTGAGTGATTCCTTTCCCAACAAAACCATTGTGACTGGAATTGTACCCTACATTGGTGAAATAGGTCATAACCAGTTCCAAAACTTATACAGTGCAGGATGCTTTGTATTTACTTGGATTTCAGTACACGTTTGTTGAATCGAGAGGATGGACTGAGGGGTGAGGGGATAGAATTAACATTCATTGAAACCCGCGCTCTGAAAGAAACTGCAGATACTTCTTCAATTTATTCCTCACAATCTGGTAAATATTGTCATCCTCACTTCACAGGTGAGCCATTCAAGAGTCCATATACAGTAGCGGACGGTGGAGACAGTACTTGGACCCAGAGCTGACTCCCAGCGCCATGCAGGTCCTTAGCCAGGTGGGTTGCTCCTGGGCATCTGCTGCAGCCTCGAGCACTGAGTACTGGAAGGGATTATTTGGGTCGGCCGAGAGACAGAGGAGACCTGGGATTTTCGTGATACTGACTTAATTGAAACAAAGCCTGGAAAAGTCTTTACAAAGTGAGAAACTCTGGTTTTCTCTGAGAGTTAGCATCTGGTATGAGGATGATGGTGCTGAAAACCCCTGCAAAACTCACCAGCAGTACCTACGTGGGGGATGTGAAGGGAGAGCGGAATAAAGGACAGAAAGGAAGTCAAAAGATGTTTGGATTGAGAGCAAGAAAAAAAAAATAAGCAGGGGTGTGGGAAAAGACGAGAGGACAAGAACCTCTGAAAGAAACTGAAAAAATTGATACATTTAGGTTAGTCAACTGAAAGAAACATAAAGTGCATATAGGTGATTTTACAAGGAGCCCTGCCAAAAATCACAGGAGGTTCATTATTTTCACCCTCATTTCCTGCGATCACACTTGACCGAAGGCATCTAGACTGGAAAGGACACCATTGCCCTCAATACCATGTTTACAGTAACTAATGACCTCTCTCGAGTATAACTCAAGTTCCTAGAATACAGTTGTAATTCTAGAAGACAACTGGCTTGCTGTAATGGTCTCTACATAATTGTTAGTGATTTTTGCTCTGTTTTGGCAAGGCATACAATCCTTAAGGTTTCTTTGTTGGTGGTGGTTTTTTGTTTTTTTTTTTTATCAGAGCAAATGTGACTGTTGGAAGCTCCTTTGTGCAGAAGCACTAGTTAGACTGGACCCGAGGAGGGTGGTAGCCAGGATGGCCTTGTGTGGATTATACCCAAGTACAAGGGAGTCAATCCGTGAATATTTGAATAAAGGGTGAATATGTGCTGAGCTTTGTGGGTTATTTTTTTTTTTTTTTGAGGCCATACCTTTTGTATTCTTAAGTGGTTTTGAGCCTTTCTGTGTGTTTAGCTCTCTGCTAGCCTTTGGGGATATAATGCTCAATAGGGCATGTGTTGTATCCTCCAAAAGGTTATGGTTAATGAGATGATTCTGTTTGAGAGTGAGGGCATTCAGATGCTATAGGCCTGACTTTGTTAATTTTAAAGAAATTCTTCCACTTCTGGTTGGATATCTCTGTTTACATAGAAAACTATCAGACCCAGAGATACTTTTGGAAAATCAAGAAGCACAACAGTTTTTTTGTTTTTTTTTTTTAAGTTTCATTCATTCATTCAACAAGCATTGAGGGAGTCTCAACCACATGTTAGGAGCTGGTTTTGGTGCTAGGAAAGGGAATAAGGCAGCCCCAAATCCTTATCTTGTAGTTCATATTCTAGCTGGGGAGGCAGACACCATAAGAAAGAACAAAGTAGTATAAGAAATATCAGGGAGGTGACCTTGGGACAGGTGCAAGCACATTGAAAGGACTTTAGATTGTACTCCGAGATGGGGGAAGTTGGTAATTCTGCTTCATGGTTCTCTCATTTCGTTTTCAGACAAACAGACCTCTCAACCCTTTTCCATTTCTCCAACCACATTGAACACCACTTAGGAGTCCTTCTGACAGTGCACACCCACGCACCATTTCCGAATGCTCACAATTCCATCAGAATCGTGGATGAATGAGTTCACTTCCATGCTCCCTGGGTGCTTCATCTTCAAGATGAACATCCCGACGCCTGTGGGCTGCTGAATGTCAAGGTGAAAACGGATGTGAAAACAGTTGAAGACCAGTGAGGGCCTGAACACTGTTTCTCCTGGAAGCAAAAGAAATTCCTTTAAGAGGCTCTTTCCAGGGCTTAAATAGACACAGGTTTAAAGTGTAGATCCTTGCGCTCTGTGTTCCCACAAAAGAGGGGGGCCTCTGAATCATAGCAGTGTCAGAGTAGGGAGGGCCTGCAAACAATGCATCATTGGGGGTAAGTGACCCTATCAGAGCGTCCCCCCACCCGTCTTGGGGGAAAGACCCTGAACCCCCTGGGAGAGTCCTCTCCTTGTCCACAGGTCCTAGCTGGACCCCAGCAGGTGGATATTAACCCTTGCACTGCTCACCTGCCCTCACAT